GCCTATAATCCCAGCTACTCAGGAGGCTGAGGCAGGAGAATTGCTTGAACCTGGGAGGCGGAGGTTGCAGTGAGCTGAGATCGTGCCACTACACTCCAGCCTAGGCAACAGAGCAAGACTCTGTCTCCAAAAATCCTCTCTGTAATTTTTTTCTTTTGGGGATCTTGACCCCCACAAAGATTGCTGGTTGCCTTGGCAACTCTGATGCAGAACTGGGACCAGGGGGAGGCAAGGGGCCACCTAGGGTACAGAATTTAAGCAGGCACTCACTGGGTCATTCAAATACTGTACTGAAGTTCAGTTTCTTGTAGGTTTTCAGAATAAAAGTAGATACAATCTGATTTCAAAAATAATTGTTGTAGGAATAATGACCTATCTAAACTTTTATTTAAATTTCTGTTTAAACTTCTGTTTAAATTTGTGATAAGTTCCTCATCTGAAATGAGCTGTCTTTGTTGCTTTTGTTCTCTTTTTATTAACTATGCTCAAACTTTAAAGTATACACGAATCACCTGAAGATCTTGTTAAAATCTGGAATCTGATTCAATAATTTTGGGGTGGGGCCTGAGATTTTTCATTTTTTGCAAGCTCCTAGGTGATGCTAAATGCTGTTTGTTCATGGACCATATTTTGAGTACAAAGGATCTAAAGGAAGATATTTTATATTGCTCTAATATAACATTTTAAAACATAAACAACTTTAGATTCTGTGAACCTTAAAGTGATCTGTCTCAATCTAAGAGAACAACAATTTTAGGAGACACTTACAAAAATAATATAATGTTAGCTTAAACATTACACGGACATTACAACCTTACAACTTAGGTGAGAGAGGCTTTGGTTATGCTGAGTTGCCTATGTGTTAGTGATAACACTACCCCTTTCTTCTTCTAAGTAAAATATCTCAGGATACAAGTGAATAATAATAGTACTGTTATTGAGTTCTCTTTGGTGGTCACCATGATGTGTGTTGAGGAGCAGAGTGAACAAAGGCAACCTGATCTCTATCTCTGTAGAGCTTACAGTCTTTATTCACTGCCAGTATTTTCACTTTTTATCTTTGCTTCATAGCTATTGAGACACCAATTGAGTATATGATGCATTTGGGAAGGCAACTGTTCTAATGCGGATTTCGTAAAGAAGGAGAGTTTAAAATTAGAAGTACCAGAGCTAGGCATGGGTTCACACATATTTAGATTCACCAAAAAGCACTTATATAGAGAGACAGAGGCGACAGAGGAGGATCACACATTCGAGCATACAGGTTTTGAGACCAGCCTGGGAAACATAGGGAAACCCGATCTCTGTTAAAAATTTAAAAAATTAGCCATGCTTGGTGGCCATGCACCTGCAGTCCAGTAAACTTGAGAGGTTGGGGTGGGATGATCCTTGAGTTGGGGAGGTCAAGACTGCAGTGAGCCATGATTGTGGCACTACACGTTTAGCCTGGGGACACAGCAAGGCTTTGTCTCAGAAAAATAAATAAAAAAGAAATACTTCTCAACTTTCCACAAAATTCAGTAGTATTTTATTGGTTTTTTATCCAGAGGAATGTTAAATTGTTTCCTTACTAAAAGCATTTTTTTATACCTTGCAGTCCGC